TGTGCCAGCTCTGGTGCCGAGTTGTGTCGGTTATGTGTGACGCCCGCCCATCAACTTGCTTCACTGCAAAGTCTTGCTAGACTACTGTATTTGAATTGTAATTGTTAATTGTTCACAGTTTGCTTATCATCATGTTATTACTCAAATTACTGTATCTCATTTTGTCTCTAATAATTTTTTGCTTTATCATGAAAAATAGCACCCGCCATGCACCCCCTCTGGCCAGAGCTAGGGGGTTGCACACACACCCGCACCCCCCCAGTACATATATCCATCCCTGGGTATGGATATGAAGTTGTTAAGATCCACACATCCACACACTCCTGGCTGATGTATTGAAATTGGTTTTTTTAATTTTATTTCAGATGAATTTTCACCAATTGAACATTTTTTGGGAAAGAGGTATGAAAAACAAGATAGTGAAGAACAAACGACATTTTTTATATCTGATATAGTGATATTAATTATAGAAACTAACGACTTTACGTATTTTTTAGTCTTGCTCATCCTTGTATACGTTTTCATTTGCAGCATCAACGACATAACAAGTTCTATCACTGAGCCTGGACTCTTGGGAGAATGCCTTGGTCATTCGGGGAGTGTTCGTGTAAGCCTTGAATATACTATAAGACTCACTCGCATATATAGTAATAATAATAAAAATAATGTAATAAACTTTATTTAAAGAAGGTGCAATACAGAACCAGTTTAGCAGAGCTAATCTTACACTGAGCCTTCTGTCCTATTGTCAACATAGATATCTAAAGGCCCTGTCACACTATTGCGTGTGAGAGAAACGTATGAGAAGCGTATGAAAATCAATGAAATAATTTTCATACGCACAAAAATCCTTTGAAATGCCAGCGTATGAGTACCGTACATCTGGAGTACCTCTAGCGTATTCAGCGTGTACCTAGAGTATGCTTATCGTATAAAGCATACGTCCGATACGCACAAAATTTTTGAACATGCTTAAAAAAAATTTTCTGCCTCGCCGTATGCCAGCGTATGCCACCATATGCGACCGTGCTTGAAACGTATACAACCTATGCCTAACGTCCCCCTAGCGTATGTCAGCGTATACCGGCGTATGAGTGATATTTTTCATACGCTGGCATACGCTAGTACGATACGCAATAGTGACACTAGATAGCACATCTCTTTTAGTAAAATTGAAGCCAAGAATATTCCAGCGGTTACCCCCATTTGAATAGATGGCAGTCATGTTGGTAGTTCCCACTCGCTAATAAACGCTTAAAAAACAACAATAACTTTCATCATTTGAATAGTTTAAAAATGTATTTGGAATAGGTTTAAGTTCCCTGTTTAAGAAATAACAAACATATCCTGAGTCTGCAATCACGGCTTCAATGGACCATTTGCATTATAGACTAAATTTTGATCTAGACAAAAATTTCATCACAGCTTGAAAGAGCATCACAAAATTAGTAATATTCGAAAGTTTCGTTGTGAAATGCTGTAAAATGAGGATAATATAGCCTTGCGAAGTTTGCCGTTTTTCAGTCATTTTGTATTACGCACGCGAAATTGACAGCCCAATCGGGTGTTGGGGCATCAATTTCCCGTTTGTAATCTAAAACGACTGAAAATTGCAAACTTTGCAAGGCTATATTTTCCGCGTTTTACAACATTTCGCAACAAAACTTTGGAATATTACTAATTTTGTGATGCTCTTTCAAGCTGTGATGAAATATTTGTCTAGATCAAAATTTAGTCTATAATGCATATGGTCCATTTTTGAATTGCAGAATAATTAGATGCACTATCTAGTGTATATAAGATATCTATGATTGTTAACTGTTAGAAATTACAATTCAAACTGGTACATTAAACTAGTTCAAAAAACTACATTATATTTCTTTCTAAAAAGTATTTAGAAGCGTTTATTTTAAAGGAATTTAGAGATATTGATCGTCTTATCACAAGTGGTAAACAATTATATGAAATTGTACCACTGTATGGCAAAGCTTTTTGTCTGACTGTTAGTTTAGCACGTGCATGGTATTCAGAAATTATTGCCCACAGAGCTTCTGGTAACTCACTGACGAGCAAGGCTGGATTTTGGTGGAAATAGTGGGGGAGGTGGAAAAAAAATTAAGGGAGGTACAGCAGTCTAGCTCATGATCTCCATGGAAAGTTAGGACTTAGAACGGGCCAAAGTCAACGACGTGTCGTATGCATGTAGTGTACATATGTATCAGTGTATTAATGAATTATGAGTATACAACTCATCCAATTTTACCCTTCATTACAGTTACCACAAAATTTCTTTCAAAACATTGCATTAAAATTAAGGGTACTTGACACAGAAATGAATGGCTATCACTGTTTCAATTTTACAGAAAATTTTTTTTGCGAGATGTAGACCCTAAGCAACCAAAAGATGTCAAATTTTCACTTTGATCCATCATTGAAACTTTCCCAAGTGGAAGTGCATGACTTTTCAGGGAGGTGCAAAAATTCTCAAGGGAGGCGCGCACCTCCCCTCAAAATCCGGCCATGCTGATGAGTTAAATAAAAACAGCCACTTGTATGTACCTGGGCTGGTTGTTCAATGCTAGGGTAGTTTAACCCTAGGTTAACTTAAAATTCAAAGCAAACTTCCCAAGATATTGTTTATAAATTTTGAAATATTTCTTCGGAGATCTTGTCTGAATCAGTAGGAGTTTTCTTCTCTGAAGTTTTGAAATAAACAACATGCAGAAATACACAAACTAAAACAGCAGGTTGAATTTTAACCCAGGGTTAGGCGCCAACCCACCTTTGAACAACCGACCCCTGGATACCAAATTAATCGAAGATTTATTTAACATTCTGCAAAATATGGCCAGGCATATTTTTCAAGCCGGCCCGGTGTGGATATACACTCAAGAGTAAAATCACACAAGCATCTTATTCACCTGAGTACATTACACCAACACAGCAAATATCTTATTTAACATTATTGTGGTAGTACTCCAGCAGTTTTAAGTACCAAGATTCCCATAGAATTCATATTTATATGGAATATCATGTAAAACGCTAATGGTTTGTTTTGATTTTTGTTTATCAGATGATAGCGGATTTTGGAGCTGAAGGTTTTGCGTCATGTGCTAGTGATGGATTAATTATTTTATGGAAGGTATATGGATACAGACATTCGCACATATCTAAAGGGGTCAGATTAACCCCTGGATTAACCTATCCAGGCGCGCATTGCGTCTTTTCAGGGGCGTGTATAATTATATCTGGGGCGGATCTGGCCTGATTTGTTAGAGGCGCTGGAGGTTTTTCAGAAGGGGTGCACTACTACGTGGGTCCGGGGGCATTCTCCCCCAGAAAGTTTTTGAAATTTGAAGCCCTGAAATGCCATTTCCTGCATTCTGAGCACTATATGTTTATTCGTTGAATTTGTGCTCACAGTACTTGTACTTCGGGAAAAAGTGCTATGTTATATGGTGACCCGCCGTATTGGTGCTTGAATATTTTCTCGCGTATTCGAAAATCAATCATTTCAATGTAATAAGTAGTATTCACAACTCAAATATGGAATACCGGAGTTTTCTTCAAGGGGGTGCTGGACACCTCTATGTTGGACACCACTATGGGGGGGGGCACCCCCTGCACCCCACCAGTAGATCCACCCAGATCCACCCCACCGGTAGATCCGCCCCACCGGTAGATCCGCCCACCGGTAGAACTTCCCCAAGAGTTCCTTCCTTCAAGAGTTCGGACTCACTATATCAAGTGTAAAATTATCACTTTTTTTCAGACACTCCTCTAGATTCGGGACGAAATGTTCTATTCCTAATTGAGTGCGTGGAAATCTTCAATAGTCCTTTACAGGGCCGCAGAGAGGGGGGGGGGGGCAAATTGCCCCTGGCCCCGAGGTGCTGGAGGCCCCTGAAAATGTTTTGTTGGGCCCAAGTCTTTTTTGTGTGTTAAATATTTCCGCGCAAAGGACAAGATATCTGCTTTTGGGGCTAAGTACCAAAATTTGGCATAAAAAATGAGATAAAGTCCTAAGCAATTTGCAACGTACTCGTCCGGAAAAATATTTTACCTAAAAAGTTGTCGACGGGGGGGGGGGTTGTTCTCCGAAAAAAAATTTTTCCGGAAAGATGTTTTAGAAAAAATTTGCCCCGGGCCCCCGCCAACCTCTCGGCGGCCCTGGTCCTTTACTATGTGTCTATATTTTGCAGGATGGATGGCGAGAACGTCAAAAGAGAATGGAGTTAGCCACAAGTCTTCTCTTCACTTGAAAAATCCACTACGGTAAATCAAAATTATTCTAATTCTAGTACAATCCCGATTAACGCTTGAGTTTTTATTGCGCGACCTGTTTAATAATACCAAACAATAATCTTGTCATTCAACAATAACGGTAGCCAGAGAAAACCACATACATTTCTGGTTGCATTAACAAGAGAGGCAAGAAAAAACAGAACTGGCAATTTGTAAAAGACGGTGTTACAGCAATTCTGTTATGATTCGGACTTCAAAAATGTTTTTGTATAATTTTTTTTTCAATATGGCGTGCGCAAAGACTATATATTTTTTTTCAAAATGTTTTGCAAATGATTAAACAATGATAGGGCGAAATGTGCGAACAATAAGAACGAATTATATTAAATTGAATTAAGGCATGAATTATGAATGAAATGATAGATTTGAAAGTATATTGTTATGAATAAGTTTTTAATTGTAAATTAAATTATTTATATGAATTGAAATAGAATTATACAAGATTTTTCATTTACTTTAAATTTTTTATTTTCGCTTATTTTCACCAGATAATATGTTGTTATTATTATCATTATTAAAAACTTATTTAAACACGTCCAGATCACCTATCGTGCTATTCTCTGGAGCCGTGTACACACACTTTCAAAAACAAATTTACAAAAATATTGAAACTAAGAAAGACTGTACATTTGTAAGAAAGATTTAAATTGTGAAATTGTCGTAGCGTTAACTGCCTGCACAGGTAAGCTATTTCACAGGACAGCACCTCGATCAGTAAAACGTTTCTTAAGAGCCTCAGTCAAAGGTCTTGGGATCTCTTAGACCGTAATGCATGATTCTAGCTATAGACGGAACTTTGATCTAGGCAAGAAGAACGAAACCATTACCATAGCTGGAAAGAGCATCTTAAAATGAGTGAAATTGCAAAGTTTGGTTGAGAATTGTTGTAAAATGAGGAAAATATGGCCCTGCGAATTTCGCAAATTTTGTATATATTTGCATTACGCGCGGGAGAAATAACCATTTTTGAGCCGAAAGTGGTTATTTTTCCCGCGCGCAATACAAATATATACAAAATTTGCGAACTTCACAGGGCTATATTTTCTTCATTTTACAACATTTAGCAACCAAACTTTGCAGTTTTACTCATTCTAAGATGCTCTTTCTAGCTGTGGTGTTGGATTTCCTTCTTCTTCCCTTGGTCAAAATGTAGTCTTTAGCTGGAATGGGACGTAACTTTATTTGAAAGATATTCTCGCACCATTTTATTAACTGTTTTAAATATTAGCCCTTTAAGATGTTGATTTCTTCTTTCTTCCAATTTGGATCATATGTTAAATTGCTAATCTAATTTCTCATCCGAATTTAACCAAAATTTAATCCGTTTGTCCTTGGGCAACGTCCATTACTCCATTTTCGTAAGTAGTACGTTTGATATTTTTAAGTAAAGTTATCGTTCCGGCTGAGAGGCAAACACACTCGTCTGGCAGAAAAATTCACCTGGCAGAAAAACTCACCTGGTCAGGCGGCAATTCTATCTAATTGTGCCTTTAAGACTATAGAAGTAGATTTCTGTATGTCGGCGGCATTCAAATTTTTTGTGGGCTCCCACCAACACGTTTTTCTTTGATTTTCCTATTAAACTCGTACATTGTTAAAAACGTGAAATTTCAGGTTCATTTACAGAAAAAATGCAAACTTGTAGCATTAGAAAGCTTACAAAAAGCTACATGTAAGACATTTAAACGGTTACCTTGATTTTTCAAGCGGTGTTCGAGTTATTGCTGTTCCAAAATGTAAAATATAGGCCAAAAACTCGCACAAATTCTAGGCACTAGTCTAAAAACATGTTTTCAAAGAGCTCATAACTCGAGAAGAACTCGAAAAATCAAGGTGACCGTTTAAATGTCTCATAAGATATTTGAACGCCGTCGACAAACAGAAATATACTTAATAATATAATACTTTTTTTTGTGGAAACACCACGTAAACTTATTACTGAAATGAAATGAAATGTACGTAATGAAATTAGAAATGTAGTTACCAGCCTTAAAGGCACAGGATTCATGAAGGCAAATGGAATTGCCCCCCCCCCCCCCTCCCCCCATATGGTGAGTTTGTATTCATTGATGATCCTGTAAAGATCAACACAAATAGACCATATATGAACTGAATCAAAATTTTAATACGACTGTTCAAATTGATATATGCATATATAGAACAAGGTTTTGCGTATTATTTTATGCAATATATAATAACTTAATTATATTCAATGTAATCAAATACATTTAACTCTATACGCAATTCATTTACAAATATCGCCACAATATAGTAAATCAAAATTTAACTATAGAACGAAGTAAAACAAGTGGAAATCAATGTTCTAAATTAGGTGTACATTTGCTTAAATTTGTTCAAAATTATTAATTTTGATAACTAATTGATTATAATAAGATTACGAGTCTAATAAGTATGATAAAGAACTAAATGATTATTATAAGAGGTTGAAATTATAAGTTTTCAACAGCTAGTGTTAAACCATAGACAATAGAATAAAAGAAGGTAGTTAGGGAACTCGATGCAGACATAATAGACCTCATTATCTATGTTTTTGTCTTGGTTCATACAAGTAATGGTCGATTCATCGTCACGTATGTATTGTATTTTCGCTAGAGCAACTAATAGTGTTAAAGCAACACACTGATATTGGTTGGTTGGGCGAAAATACAATACACACGTGACGATGAACCGACCATTACTTGTATGAACCAAGACAAAAACATAGATAATGATGTCGATCATCGAGTTCCCTAACCTTCTTAAGACTGGTTTGCACTATCAAAGTTTCTGTGATCACAGTAGGAATTTTGCATGGGCAAATTCTAAGTTTTGAAGGATTTGTAAGAAATGTTTGAAGGAGCTGACTCCGTGTTTAACACTCAGTCAGTTTCCTCAAACATTTCTTCTTACAAATCCTTCAAAACTTAAAATTTACCCATGCAGAATTGCTACTGTGGTCACAGAAACTTGGTGTGAACTAGGCTTTATTCTAACTATGGTTAAACATGGGTCATCAACTTAAGTATGGATAGAATTGGGAATCCATCCTGGTTTAAGATACGGATAGGTGAGATGTCCTTCTTTGAATCTTTCGTCATTTCGCTGGTCGATGATCGCCTTCACTCTGGTGTTTAAGATTCTGTAATGTTTCTTCACAACCTTGGCTGCGTCCTGATCCACCATTCGTGGTCCATAATCCAGCAGGTTATCAAAACGAAGAGAACCAAGACTCATCGAAACTACAGCTTGTACCTATTGAAGTGAAAGATTAAGGCATTTATTATCTACCATGGGGGTACAGAGGGGGGCGTATCTAGCACCCCCCCCCCCCTCTCCCAGAGACGCCCAGCACCACCTTATCTGCTTGATCATTCATTTTCTACTTTTCGAATAGCGATAAGTGGAACTCCTACGGTTAGCGCGTTTCGATTTTTTGAAACGATTTAATTGATTTGTGAGTTCACGAGAAAATACTCGGGATGCTTTAGTTCGATATCATGGTTAAATATGTAAACATGTCGAGGTTATTGTGCAGCCAGATTTTCAAATATACAGTACTTTAACAAGCAAATTTACTGTACTGTGCTACAGCAACTGATAAAAATACGTGATAAAAATCCGATATAAACTTTATAAACAAAAGATAATGTAAAACGTAACAGAACGGTGAACATGCAGATTTGGACATTTCAAATACTGGTAATGTTTGGATAGTAGCGTTGCGGACTGCAGAGGAGAGTGGGCAGTAAGGCTCCCTCATGCACCACCCCATGGAAAACCTGCACCCCTCCTTGCAGATGAGACTAGATCTGCCCCTGTTTGAATGCGTTCGAGATGACAGAGATGCATTTTGAAATGTGTTTCAACGACAGAAAACGCAAGTGAAACGCATTGAAGAACGCGGTCTGGTTGCATTTTCAACGAGATTTTTTCAGTAGCAGGGGTGCAAAATGTTCTGCAAATAATCTGCATCCCTCCTTGCAGATGAGCCTAGACCCCCCTGCGCTACTTGGAGGTTTTCTCCCAGCGAAAGATAAGTTATATGATGCACTGTAGTGTCCCTCTCGCCAGTAACAGGAAGTCTTTCGTGGATACACAAGGCTTAATATTACAATACTGACACTATAACACAAAGCTCGTTATGCAAAGTCTATTGCAAAAATTTCTCTCTAGGGAGCATATTTAATGTTAGACGTTGCATACCCAACTTAGGAAAATCTGATGCCCTGTTAGATTTATGGCTTCACTTTGTGAAACTTAATAAGATTAACAAGTTTCAAACGCTTCAGGAGAACTTTCCAGGTTGGAATATGAACCATAGGTCGATCTAGCTTGCCTTTATTGGAATTGCTGAGCGGCGCTGGTAGAACCATGGTCGAGGCGGGGTGTATGATTAATGTAGCTCGGAAAACAGTCCGTGGAAAAGATGCAAAAGCCGAGCTGGCGGTAGGGGATCTTAGATTCTACGCTAGTCAGAAACGTTTTTTAAAATAATCCGTTTCCTCCTTGTACTCCTTCACCAAGGCTAATGGTTGCGCAACCCCAGTAAAACTATCCTTTTCTAAACAGTCCAGATATTCAAACATCACTCACTGTGGCAACATTTTTGTCAGGAAGATTGTAGAACGAATACTCGTCGGCCTTTCCTCGTGGATCGTCGTAAAGCTTCGTAGGCATGTTCGGAACGAAGGCACCGTAGTATGCAATTGGGTAGTTGACTGCGTTGTGTTGTATTGGCAGCCATAGAATACGAGATAGGGTTTCGATCAGACTAGATTTTGTGCGCAGACGTCTTGGGAAACCTTTTAACTATCAAATGAAAGGTTGTTAGTTTTAAGCTTTATAACGTCTAGTTCTATTAACCGTGCTTCAACCCATTAAATTGCATTGCGTTCTATTGGGCCGTAGGTACTCTATTATTTTACTCTGTTTGAGGAAGCGGTCATTTATCTCGGGGGGTGGCACCGAAGAGAAAAGGGTTGGGTAAACAAAATTTTGAGTGAGTAAAAGGTTGGGTAAATGAAAAACAAAAAAACTCAAGGGTTGGGTAATAAAAAAATATTGGCATTTCCAAAGCATGACTTACTCGAATGTTGAAGACTATAAAAGCAATGTCAACAATCTTATGCCAATGCAATATGTAAATCAATCAGTTTTAATCGATCATTATTTTGTATGCTACGTGACACGCCCTCAAAACTGATTCATTCAAAATGTTTATTTTTTTATACATTTCTCAATCCAATCGGCAATTGACGAACTTAAAAAAATATATTTAATGCTTTATCTTTAAAATAATACTAAAATGAAGGGATTTTAGATGGTATGCCAAAGAGAAAATGATGTCGTTAAGTTTTGCTTATATTGCTGTAAATCATGGCGTCACTTTTAAAGCATCGTTGATAATTGTATTTTAATTGATAATATTTAACTATTACTTTGTGTTTCTCAACCGGCAGAAACATTTAAAAATGTTGCTATTAAACTGTGTAAACTACAAAATAAAGCTAAAACAAAGTAATTTTGAGAGGAACGCCAAAAATGTTTTAGGTTTTGAACACTTTTCATTTCAAATAAGCGACGTATAGAAAAAAGTTGCCTCTTAATAGTGCGTCGAGGCAAAGATTTTAATTATAAAATCGTTCGCGAAATATTCGCACCTTTCCAATGCCACCAGTTTTGCCAAAGCCATCATCAGACAATTCGTTGGTAAAATTTTCGAGTTCACTGTCAGAACTTACATCCTTGTTTGTGCCGTAGTATCTAAATAAAATGGTTATTATTTAAGACACAGAAATAGTTTAATTTTGTTTCTATATTGTTAAACACCCATTTTGTTAGGCGCAACGCGCAGTTTGCCAGACATTCACAGTTACTTGGACAAACGTCAAAGTCCATGTGTAGACGCAAAATCAAAATTCTGCCAACAAGTTGTGTTCGCACTGCTTGCCCCAAGTTGTCAACAAGTTTGGAACAAGCTGTTAAAACAACTTGTAACAATCTTGTTGATATTATCAGACTTGTTGCAAGGTTGTTCCAACAGTCCAATACAACATGATATAACAATGTTGCTGCAACCTTGTGTAGTCAACCATGTAACATTCTTGTTATATCATGACTGTACCAAACTTGTTAGAAGAACCTTGTAACAAGTCTGATAATGCCGTCAAGCTTGTTACAAGTTATTAACAGCTTGTTCCAAACTTGTTACAACAACTAGGAACAAGCAGTGCGAACACATCTTGTCGACAGCTTGTGAACAGATTTGTAACAACTTGTTTGCAGACCTGTAACAACTTGTGCGTTTTTACGTGTGCAGTCAGGGCTTTCAAAACCCGATTTTCAGGAAGCGGTTGCGTTCTGTGTCAGCGTACACACGTAAAAAAGCACAAGTTGTAACAAACCTGCAACAGACTTGTAACAATGCTGTTCCAACAACTTGTCAACAGGATGTGTTTGTACTGCTTGTTCCCAGCTTGTTGACAGGTTGTCAAATGTCAACCGCTTGTTGACAGCTTGCTACAAGATTGTTGAGTTCAACAGACTTGTTACAAGTTGTTCCAACAACTTGTTATCGTCTTGCAATTCAACAATTTGTCAACAAGTTGTGAGTGACAACCTTGTAGCAACTTGATAAAATACACTACTTACAACTTGTTGTCAAGCTTGCTACAAGCCTGTTGCGAACACATCTTGTTGACAAGTTGTGAGATTTTTACACGTGTAAGTATAGCGATGAGAACAAAAGAACGATCTTTATAGGAAGTACATGCAGCTACCTGAAAAATACAAGGAGAACTTCGACGTTCCGGGCGAAGGCCCTTCGCCGAGAAGTTTGTAGTTTGTAGCCATGCAGTTTAGTCTGATTTCGATATTGTCGTAATGATTGTAAAACTAGAGTCACGATCTTTCTCAATGGCCATTTTATAATAGTTTATACCTGTAAACCACATTTCAAAAACTCATTAATAATTCATGAAGCAAAAACCAATACCAGCCGACAATTTCAAAAAATATAATACAAAACATAATCCGAAGATAAGCATCTTGAAACCCAAAATATGAGTCAAACAAGAAAGTGAGTGAGTAATATTTCGATTTTATTACAAAATCATCATCAGACTGATGATGATTTTGTAATAAAATCGAAATATTACTCACTCACTTTCTTGTTTGACTCATATTTTGGGTATCAAGATGCTTATCTTCGGATTATGTTTTGTATTATAATTCATGAAGCAATTATCCAATCTTGAGTAAGAAATTATTCACGTGCATACGTCTTTATACCAGCATTGTTATGCAAACTATATAAAGATTTTATATAAAGATTTTTATTTAAAGATTTTTATATAAAGATTTTTATATAAAGATTTGACTTATTATGCAAACGTTTTTGAAGCCATTTAAAAAACTCGCAGGTCGTGTTTTATTAGGTCTTTAAACCTAATAAAACACTCCTGCTCGTTTTCTAAATAGTACATAAATCATGAGTATTCTCTAGTTATAATCACTCCGCGTATTTTCAGTTCTAAAATGTTGTATTTCGGCTGATGAGAAAGATCGTGATTCAAATCTTTACGACCGTTACGACCATATGGACGACCAGGCTTTAATGTCGAAGGATCTTTGCTAAATAATGATGTGACAATCTCGCGCACTTACAATGATACATAGTCATGTACATAGCTCTGTATCTGTTGCCAGATAAGTTTACCATCATCTCTGTAAGGAAAGTATGGCAACTTCTTTTGATCGTCAACACCACGTTTCTGAAAAATGGTGACTTATTAATAACTTATAAATTGTTACAAAAATTCAAAAGAGATTAATGTATAATCAATATCTGTAAATCGGATAAAGATCTCGTCGTGATTTACATAAAATTTATCAACCTCGTACCCAGGGACTTTCCTCTTGGGGAGCAAAGACCCTGGTAGACGCTGGTCACGTGATCTGCTAAAATCTAGCAGATTTCTAATCAACTATCTTGGTTTTCTTTACGACAATCATACAAAATGCAAATTATAAATTAAACTATCAAAATAATCCAAATATCAAATGTTTATTGACCTGATCTTGGATTGCTAATTAAAAATCTGCTAGATTTTAGTAGATCACGTGACCAGCGTCTACCAGGGTCTTTGCTCCTCAAGAGGAAAGTCCCTGGGTACGAGGTTGAAAATTTAGCCTCGGTTTTCTGGGGTAAAATGAATCAGATCTCAAAATTAGTTGGTAAGCTCACTGAGCCAGATTTTCATTGAAGCGTGAAAGGCTGTTCTGTTCCGCAGGGTTTTGAGTTATAAAATTTCGCTTCGATTTTCTCGGCTAAAATGATTGAATCAGATCTCAAACTTGATTTCTTAGATGCATTTGAATTCAATTCAATTTATTTACCACTTTCAGTTATTTACATTCATTATTATAATAATATTTGGGTATATATTTATATTTATGTATGTCAAATTGAAAGTGGCGAGAAGACCTCAGGAAGTCAAAGACTTGTATTAAGAGGCCATCTCATTGTTATTCAGAACAAAGTTGGGGGGGGGGGGGGGGTTCCCCCCCCCCAAATTATATTTTTGGTTTTGTTTATAAATGAAGCTCCTATTGAATTGTACATGCACTAATTGTTTTCAATAAAATATTTTTTCAATTTTCTTTTGAAAGAAGACGTGATATTTATTCCTGTTATTGATGAAGGAAGACAATTCCATATTTTCGGATCCTGATGTAGGATAGTGAATTGTTTTATGTTAGTTCGGCATGCATGAGACCTATATTTGGCCGCAGCAGACATTTGTACTGATATTAGTACCGAATTAGTAACCCTTATCTTTCTTGGAAAACAGAGCATTGACGAATAAGCATGGAATAATAGAGCAATATATTTATTAGTAAAAACACTCACTCTGATATTTTCCCAGAAATCAGTGTCTTTCCAACTGTAGTCCACGTAACCTTTATTGAGCAATTCAATGCTTCCAACATGGCCCATAGAAAACAATCTATGCATATAACCTTCTGGTTGGATCAACTTAGGGAAACCAATAACATTGGTTGTAATCAAACCGCGACAATGCCACCGAAACAGTTCGTTTAACGGATGGTATTTTGAGATCGTTCGCTTTGCGACGACACAGATAGGTTGAAGTATCATGTGCGTTTTTAGTAAGTGTTCGATCATTTCAACATAAGCAAAATCTGCCACTTGGTATAGCAGTTTAGCCAGTAGCCAGCGATTGCCATCTGCAGGAGTATACACTGGTGAATCTGTAAAATAATAATGGACCATGTGATTAAAGTGCCTATGCGACAATTTTTTTTTATGATTGAATTGCAAAGTTCATTTGAAATCATAATATAACTTGTTTTTTAAAACTTTGTAATCTTTCCTGTATGTCAAGATTTTCGACTTTGTTTGATATACAAATGTGACTTAAATGACCTCACACTGCATAATGCGTTTTACAGAAGACTGTGTTGTAGCGGATAAAATTCTCATTATCTCAAATTTACAGACGAAATGATCGCTTTGATAGCTCTTAAAGTATATCACTTTCAATGTCAGTGGAATTATCACATGTTTGGCAAGGAAACGTTTTCTTTCTAAAAACTCATTATGAAGTGTGACGTCATTCAAGTCACATTTGTATATCAAACAAAGTCGAAAATTTTGACATACAGGAAAGAATACAAAGTTTTAGAAAACAAGTTATATTATGATTTTAAATGAACTTTGCAATTCAATCATAAAAAAAATTGTCGCATAGGCACTTTAACTAATTTTCATAGAGATTTTTATATGTTGGACGTATTTCTTACTTATTTTGTAAATTTTGTATATCAGTATAGCAGAATGCATATTTATGTGGCGATGATGGTGTAGTAATTGGTTGCGATGATAGTGATGGTTGGCAGTGGTGATGGTGGTAGTGGTCAATGATCAGTGATCAGTGATGATCGTGATGGTAGCGACGGTAATGACGATGGTGGTGATCAATGATGTTGATGATGATGATGGTAGCGATAATGGTAGCGATGATGGTGGTGATGATGATGGTAGTGATCAATGATGGTAATGACCAATGATGGTGATGATGATGATGGTAGTTTTCAATGAGATGATGATGGTAGCGATGATGGTAGTGATCAATTACGGTAATTATCAAGGATGGTAGCGATCAATGATGCTGCTGATGATGATAGTAGTGATGATGGTAGCGATAATGGTGGTGACGATGATGGTAGTGATCAATGATAGTAGTGACCAATGATGATGAGGATGGTAGTGATCAATGATAGTGATGATGGTAGTTTTCAATGAGATGATGATGGTAGCGATGATGGTGGTGTTGATGATGGTAGTGATGATGATGGTGACGATGTTGATGATGATGGTAGTGATAATGGTGGTGATAATGATGGTAGTGGGGATTATGTTGGTGGTTATGGTCATGCGTCCTTTGTGTGATGCCTTTGGGTAACATCAATGTTGTTGAATGGTGATGGTTAATTTGATTGGCTATGACAAAAGTGCTTGTGGTTAAAAAACAAGGTGCTTGTGGTAGAAACAGGATTGATGATAATTGTTGTCATGAACGTGGCAATGTTGATGATTGTGATGACAATGATCGATGATAATAATAGTAATAGTGCATGCAAATGATAAATAGATCAATAAGCTGATGATTGTGATGATCTCGTAATAATTAATGGATCAGATGATGAGCACTTACGCCGAGAATAATCGAGAGTAGTAAAGTAGTAACTTTGTGCATAATAAGATATCATTCGTGGCACATTTTACCTTCGTGGTTATTGATCTGTATTGCAACAGGCTTAAGTTCATATGGTTTGTTTTTGGACGATTTGACTGACACAAACAACGCGATTGGACTGGTTGCTTTCTTTAATTCCCTTCGTTTATGGATGTTAGTTATATCAGGAACATTACTTATTTCATCAAGATGAGGAAAGTGAATAGCAAATACGGAGTTTCGTTTAACCATCTAAACGAAATGAGTAAAACCCAAAAACTTTGGATGAAATTTCTTGATGCCACAGGGGGTACACACGCAAGAATGTCACATTTTGTAGTAAGTCTTTCAACAAGCCGCCATCAAGTTGTGTTCGCACTGCTTGTCCCAAGTTTCCAACAAGTTTGGAACAAGCTGTAAACAACTTGTAAGAACCTTGTTGATATTATCATACTTGTTGCAAGGTTGTTCCAACAAGTCGGATACAATCATGTTATAACAATATTGCTACAACCTTGTGTCGTCAACCTTGTAACATTCTTGTTATATCATGACTATATCAGACTTGTTTGAACAACCTTGTAACAAGTTTGATAATGCCATCAAGTTTGTTACAAGGTGTTAACAGCTTCTTCCAAACTTGTTACAACAACTGGGAACAAGCAGTGCGAACACAACTTGTCGACAGCTTGTGAACAGATTTGTAACAACTTGTTTGCAGACCTGTAATAACTTGTGCGTTTTTGCGTGTGTATACGTTGGCTTATTGTCCACTAAGACTAAATTAAGTATAACGTAAATCTAAGATAAAATAAATGACATATATTGTACCTTATATAATGATGTTTTCCAACCAACTACACTTGATATGGCATTATTCCAGTCAAACGAAGGATTGAGTCTTTCCACTAGTTCACTGAACTTCAAGCCCACTTTTTTTCGGGAATAACCTAATACCAAAAGTGACAAGAGTGTGGTTATAGTGCTGAGGTGGATTTTGTTTAGTTTAAATTTAGTTCTAGTATTATCTCTAAAATTAGTTTAGTTCTAGGTTTAGTCTTAGTGGACTAAAGGTTCGACTAAACTAATACTACACCTCACTTACTTAAATGATCATCCAGGTTACATGAATAAAAAGAGTTCAGGGGCGGTGCTGGACCTCTTTGAATCGGGGTGTGTAAGTGAATTTTGCCGATTCATGAAACCACTAATTAATATTTCTTTTCCCAAAATTGTTGGGGGAAGAGGGGCGCAAGGTGGGGTCAACAGCAAAAAACAACTGTCCGGACAACATATTTATTCCGGACATCTTATTTTGTGTTTAAACACCGTTGTTCGTTCCATTTTCCCCCAAATGTTTTAGTAAATTTCTCCACATTTTAGCTATCCGTTCTTAAATTTGTAATCAGTGTCACTGGAATGTTTTAATTTTTTTCTTCCTATCCAAAGCCATGTTTTACCGACTGGGATCAGGGGCGAAACTAGCCCCTTTTAATTCGGGGGGGGGGGGTCTGCTAGAATTGCCCTGCAAAAGCCGATGATGCTCTGCAGCAAATGCTTTTTGGCCACTATTTTCCCCCAAAATGTTGGGGAGGGAGGTTGAAAATATTTTTCCGGGCATTCCAAAAAGGGTCAAAAAAATTTTTCCAGGCATAAACCAGTTAAATTAACGGTCAAAAAAAATTTTCCTTACAAATTCCTGTTAAAACATGCGTGAAACCCTTATTTTTGGACCAATATCTGTAAAATTTGGGTCTATAAATCACTGTAAGTTACTTAACAACTCTACATTCTATCGATTGATTGCCCTGCCAATCCAGATGATTCGCCCTTCCAATCCAGATGATCCGTACTTTGGGGGGGGGTGCCCCCCCCCCTCAAGTTTTGCCCCTGACTGGGATTCAATATTCGGTGTTCCAACCCCCTCCCCCAACACCCCCTTTAGCGACGGCCCTGGTTACCTTTATTAGCTGTTACACGTTGTAAAGACATGGGATTCAGTGCTGCCAATCTTTGTTCAACAAAAACTTGATCGTCTTGCCATATGTTACAGCGAATGATGTCTTTCCATTTCTCTACCTCGGATGGATAACGAAAGTATCCCGGATACTTGCCATCTTTCTGTAATCAAAGACATCCAACGTTTCATTGGCCATGTTTGGGGAGGGGGACAAACTTCCAAAAATTTCCTCAATCAGGATTGTTGTTTATTGCAAATTTGAATACTTGATTTCCTTTTTGCACAGGCAGTTACAATAAACCCATCTCACATATTGACATTGTGTGTATATCAATGGAACAAAATCTATTCATGCTTATAATTGTATACTACACAGCAGGCTAGACAGCGTGAACGTTGTTTCAAAAGGTTGTAAAAACTAAAAAGGTATAAAGTGCACTATAAAATTTTGAATTTTTAGATGCAAAAGCGTCACAACTTTGATCAAAATTGCTCCCAGGAAACACGGAAAATGCTCTTCTGAGGCTTCGAAAACTCAAAATTTTTGTTGGGTGATGGTCATAAATATATAATAGTGATAAAAAGAAGCATACAGTGTGCGTAATTATGTGTTGATAATGACTTAAAATATGATAGTGTTATCGCTGATGATGGTAATATACTAATGGTGATTATGATAATATCATGATAGTATTGGTTTCAATATTGATTGTCATAATAATTGTGATATTTTAAAAATTATGATAATGATGGTGATTATGATATTAATACTGGTTATAATTATCGTAATATTGGTGATCTTATTAATAATGATGAAATAAATATGGTAATAATGATGATGGTGATGATGATGTTAGTGATGGTAATGATGATGGTGTTTATGGTAATAATGATGATACGATGCTATTGATGATTATGGTAATGATGTTAATGATGTTAATGATGGTAATGATGATGATGGTAATGATGATGGTGATTATGGTAATGTGATAATGATGGTAATGTTGATGATACGATGCTATTGATGATGATGGTGATGATGATGATGATGGTAATGATGGTGATGGTAATGATAATGGTAATGATGATGATGATGGTAGTGATAATGATAGTAATGATGATGATAATGACGATAATGGTAATGATGATAATGGTAATGATGGTTATGATGATGATGGTAATGATGATGATGCTAATAATGATGATGCTACTAATGATGAAGATAATGATGATGATGGTAATGATGACGATGGTAATGATGACGGTAATGATGGTATTGATGATGATGATGATGATCATGATGATGGTAATATGATGATGGCATTGATGATGATAGTATTGCTGATGACGCTAATGATGATGATGGTGTTGATGATGATAGTAATGGTGATAAAAATATTGATTGTATTATATATTGATTATATTGAGTATTGATTATCTCACAATAACTGAAAGAACATAAAGAGAAAAACGAATCTTCAGAGTCGATATTCAACTTACAGTAAACAATCTTCTCACACGTTGAAGCAAGTGATCAAAATCCGCCGTACTGTTATATTGCTCAAACAAATGAGCGCCTGTTTTTAATCGCTCCCCTAAGAATGTTCGAGCTGAATTTTGAAGATATAAGTATGTCCGTAACCATGGTAACTCATCTGCATCTTGGCTCGCTAACTTGATGCTTTGGTCGCCAGTCAAATTGATCAGTGGAAAAGCGAAATAATTTTGTAGGTTTTCTGAATTTCCAGGGTCCCCTTTGGTCACTCTCGGTGGTGGCGTGTGCAGTGCGTAGGTATTCCGGTTTAAAGCCAGTTTTGCATGTCGCCTAGCAACACAGTGTGATGGCGTGTACTTAGGAAGCGAAAGGCACGGAGCAGCTGGAATAGAATGAATGTTTATATAGTTGGTTTTAATACATGAATAACAGGATGATTCACATTAACTATATCAAAATTATAATGGAACTGACACCACATCAGAACTTTATAATATATAACATGTATATTATCTCATTTTCTTTTTAATAACTGTAAAATAGTCGATAGAGGTGATAGACCATCGCTTGCGATAAACCGACTGAAATCTAACCTGAATCACGGAACTACAGCTTCTGAAGAACTATAGTGACATTTAACTAAGGGAGCTATCATTATTTATGGGTGGCACCGAAGAGAAAAGGGTTGGGTAAACAAAATTTTGAGTGAGTAAAAGGTCGGGTAAATGAAAAACAAAACAACTCCAGGGTTGGGTAATAAAAATGTATTGTCATTTTCAAAGCATGACTCACTCAAATATTGAAGAATAAAAAGCAATGTCAACAGTCATATGTCAATACAATATGTAAATCAATCAGAGTCACTATCTTGATCATTTTCCGACTTGTCAGAAGAAAGTACATGTGCAGACAATATGAAACTTTAGACTGCAGAAAATTACGAGGTGATTACAAGCCTATATTCACTGAGCCCAAGGCGAAGTGAATATAGGCTTCTAATCACCGAGCCTGAGATATTTAACTTAAAGTCCCAATGACCCGAATAACCTCTCTTAAGTGGACACACGAAATATGCTAAATTAAATTTTCATTTCAATGGCAAGTTTATCTTACATAGAATGGATGTTGATCAGAACCAGACGAGCATGAGCGCATTATTAATGAACCCACGCAGTTACAAAAGCAATTACACACAAACACGTGCATACGTTAATTTCTAGCTACCATTTCGCTGGCTATATACTTTATTCTCAACAATATTCGTACATTTATTTTAAAATGAAAAACTACTTGGAAATTCGTATTTAAGTACTATTTAAAAAACGAGCAGGAGTGTTTTATTAGGTTTAAAGCCACGAGCGCGCAGCGCGAGTGGCTTTAGACCTAATAAAACACGACCTGCGAGTTTTTTAAATAGCTTCAAAAACGTATGCATAATAATGCAAATCTTTATATAAAAATCTTTATATAAAAATCTTTATATAAAAATCTTTATATAAAAATCTTTATATAAAAATCTTTATATAAAAATCTTTATATAAAAATCTTTATATAGTTTGCATAACAATGGTCTTTTGTTAAAGTGTTCTTTAGCTGGTATAAAGACGTATGCACGTGACTAATTTCTTACTCAAGATTGGATAATTGCTTCATGAATTATTAATGAGTTTTTGAGGCACTATTTAAAAGACGAGCAGGAGTGCTTTATCAGATAAATGCATTTCTTTCAAGAGTTTATCAATATCCCCTGCAAGAATGATACCGTACAACTCTTAAAACAACGATGCTTTAATCGAAGAGCTTAAATTCGCTCTAAAATTCACCAACGAATGACAAAATTCGGCCAAAATATATCCGCGTATATACCCGGTTTGCTGGACAAAATCCGGAAGTCGTTGAACAACTCAAAATACTATTATCATTATCACTGCCATCATCATCATTACCACTCATCATCAGAACCATCATCCTCATTATCATCATCATTATTAGCCTCATCATCATTACCATCATCAGAACCATCATTACCATTATCATCATCATTACCATTATCATCATCATCATTACCATTATCATCCGATTACCATCATCATTACCATCATCATCCGATTACCATCATCATCATTATCATCACCATTACATAATCACTTACATAGGACGAAAGAGCTGTTATTTAGCTTTTCTATTGACTATGATACCTTTCATAAACCGTAACGGTCGATGAGAATTGGCCACATACTCGTCAAACACTGAAAAATTGTCGGTCGAAATCACATTCTTCCACTGTTGGGAATTGAAAATAAATTAATTATGCAAAGTTAATCGATCCAAAAGCAACGCGAGCCTGCTGCAAGGCCAAGGGCAAGGTATTTGCACTTCCACATCACCTAAAGCATTCGGCTTGTCTGTAGCGCTTTTAGTTTTCTCTGGAGTGCTCGCATAAGTTAGGTCATCGAACAGCGACATATTAATGAAGACGGCAAACATGCTTGGCGATTTAAAACGCTCGTTCTCTGTCACAGCTAGGTACTTTATCGTCATAATATTTTTTTTCCATTCTTTGTCGATAATATTCGCATCATATGAGGTTATTTTTAAGCTTATACGGATTTAGGTACAAAAATATCATATTTCATTGTATAACGAACAATGTAAACTAGCCATACCTTTCGCCGAACATAACTTCGGCCATCCTTTTCTGGCTGATAATTTCAGCAAATATAAAATAAAAGTTATTCCTGACAAGGAGTGCATAGTAATTAATTAGAAAACACAATTTATAAAAACTGTATATTTCGAATCAAATTTGATTCATCTTCACTCGATGTTTTGCAAGATATGTCGTTAAATTACAAGCGTAAGGAGTTTTTAAACAAGCTGGCGTGCGCAAAAGTGCGTAAGCAATCATTAAGGGACGACGTCCATCAAAATCAAGTGAGCTTGTACCCTTTTGTTGTACACGCAAAATGTCAAAATGACATTTTCTTTACAACACACGCACCCTCCTCTGAAAACGTCAATTGTGAGTATGAATAGAATATCAAATAAAATACCATATTTCGTGAAACATCTCAGATACCAGCTCGTCCTTCGTATGTCTTCGTTGTACTGTTTTTATTCATTTCAAGGGGTTTTGTAAAGGTATATGTTTACACGCTGTGATCAATTGTCGGCCTGATTTCACGTTTACAGGAATTTACTTTCTGGCAAAATGTATAAAAACATTCAAGAAAATGGGTATATAAATTTGACTCTATATACTACTTTGTCTATGGTCCTACCTACTTTATGGCTACCTACTATAAATCTCTAGCTACTATATGCATATGAAAGAGTTTGAGAATTTAACTGTTGTTTGTTCAAAGTCGAGTATTGTCATTAGGCTAAATAAACAAAAAATACTTGGTTAGCGTCACCGCCTGCATGCCTGTCGATTTTTCCCGCCTCTGAAAATTTGTGAGAGTGTGACGCTAACCAAGTATTTTTTTTTATTTGGCCTTATGGATACACTATAATTTGTCTTCAATATCCCTCAACTCTATTACTTTGCAAGGTTCATATCTTCGCCTTCGGTTCGGTGCATGCCATGAAGACAAAAATACTACCATTCGATTCAGTGAAACAAAATCTCCTAATTCCTAACGATAGTTTTAGTCAAATGTCCACAATATAGCTATTTATGACCTTCGAGAGGTCAAGCGGTATATTTCATTATATAGCGAACAAACTTCGGCCATCCTTTTCCGGCTGATAATTTCAGCAAATATAGAATAAAAGTCCGAATAAGGAGCGCATAATAAAAAACAACACAATTTATAAAAACTGTATATTTCAAATCAGATTCATCTTCAGCAGTGTTTTGCAAGATATGTGTCGTTATGTTACAAGCGTAAGCAATTTTTAAACAAGCTAGGATGCGCAAAAATGCGTAAGCTTCAATCCTGTGTCACAACGTGCCCATAGAGCAGACCACCAAAGTACTGCAGCGATAAAAAACTAAATTTTCCAGAGCTAAATCCTTTGCAGACGTCGAGAACGCGGACACAGATGATAGATCATACCAGATGAATCACTGTGTATCTATCCCTATGATTTTCGTGTCCGCGATTTTCGCGAGGCTATCACGCCAGATGACGCGTGCGACACTTACTTCCAAAATGGCGCTTACTGCCAAAATGCGTGATTGCTCGCGTTTCATGGCGTGGATTACACTTACTGCCAAAATGGCGGCCAACGCGTGCCCATAAAAAATCACGGACACAATTTTGGCTGAGTGATACATCTGGTATTATCTATCATCTGTGACGCGAACGTCAAAGACGACGTGAAAATGGCGGGGCATATCCATACATGGGCGACGTCCGCATCCTCAATGTAAAGCTGTCTAATAGGGGACGACGTCCGTACTCATTAAACAATACATGAGGAACACAATAGGATGATGTTTATGATGCATACTCTCATATTTTTTAAAAAGAAGCATAAATCTGTGACGTTCTAGAGAGGACGTAAAAATGGTATTTTCACGTCGTGAAATTGTCCAGGACGACGTCGCAAACCGGAAGCTGACGACAGTTGGCGCCAAAATGACGCGTCGTCTTTACTAAACCTGTCTATTATGCCACGCAAAATGTCAAAATGACATTTTCTTTTATACAAACCCACCCACCCTCCTCTGAAAACGTCAATTGTGAATATGAATAGAACATCAAATAAAATGTCATATTTCGTGAAACATCACAGACACCAGCTCGTCCTTCGTATGTCTTCGTTGGACTGGTTTTTTTTTCATTTCAAAGGGTTTAGTAAAGGTATTTAGGGGCCATTCACAAAGGATGTCCGAGCCGAGGGGGGGAGGGGGGTTTGGAAAATCAGGACAAACTCGGACATAGGGGGGGAGGGTTTTTTTTAGCAATCCAGATGTCCGAAATTTAAAAAAAATCAAAAACAAATTTCTCTTTCCTCTATTTTGAACTCTCCTTCCCATTGTGAATTGGCATTTTGACTATGCAGTTAATACTAGATTTTGTTTTAATTAGTAATTTATATGTTTTTGTATTCACATTTATAGTTATAAAAAAGTTCTAAAAGTAAAAAAAGTTTTTTACTCTTGACATATACAAGGTTGCGCGAGTTTTTGCGAGGCATGGCGGATATCCGGGAGGGGGAGGCACTAATTCGGACAAGGGGGGGGAGGGGGGTCTGAAAATCCATCATTTGGCCGGACATCCTTTGTGAATGGCCCCTTAGTATTTTTGCACAAGTGAACATAACAAATCCTACAAGTTGATTGCAGGGGCGGATCTAGGATTTTTCGCACGTTAGTCAAAAATCTATGACGTCATCGATGACGCAAAAGGTGATGACGTCATTTGCCATGACGTCATTCAATGTCACGATGATAGTCCAACTTTTGTGGGAGTATAGATATTTTATTTTATCAAACTACAAATGCGCAAGTGACATAGTTTTCGTACCTGCCAATGTTCAGCATATATATGATAAAGTATTATATAGACTGTTTTGCCCTACAGTGTATACCTTGGTTCATCAGCATGCCTAGGAAACACATTTACCAAAAATAGTAAACCATGATCCAACAAGGACAGTTCCTTGAAAAAGCTGAACACAAGCACATGTTTCTGGCACCTTAAAACAAGATTGCTTGCCTTCATACCTTTTCAAGAGCAAAAGGAGTTTGGTTAGAACTTAGAAATGGGTGACAATGAAAACCACCTATAATGAGCAATCTGGTTTTAAGGTGCCATAAACCCACCTCACACCTTTCACCATAGCAAAAGGAGCTTGGTTAAAAACGGGTGACAATATGTGAAATTGCCCAGTTTTTCCCTTTAGCTCCGCCCCTTCCACATTCCCCCTATTACTAACCTATGTCTAATCTAATTAAATTCATCATCTTGTTATATACTGTCCACTATGAAAATGTATAACATCACAAGTGAAATTGTGCCTCAAAGCTGCAGCTTCATTGGAAGCCAACTTTTATTGAAAACAAGTTTATTTTACCTGGCATTTTAATTAAACATATTTTAATCACAGTAGATTCAAGTACAAAAGATTCAGTACAAATGACTATTACTTTACTTATCTAGTTATCTGAAATAATTGGCAAGGTTTTTAACACAGTATTCTATTATTCTTACACTATACTTACATACTGTATATAGACACATACTATCAATATGGTGTTTGTCTATCAGGGCCTGAAATAACATTCCCAAATTTCCCGATCATGGTAATTGATCATGGTGATTGGCAGTCATGACTTTCCCTGCTTTTCAGGTTGAAAACCCTGCTTTTCCGCTGATCATAAGCAATTTCTTGCTGATTATTGATTGGTAATCAGTTGTTATTTCAAGCCCTGGTCTGTTGAAAAATTTAACTGGTTCAAGATGCAATGGACCCATCTCAAGCCAATGAGATCAGACCAATATTTTGCATCAGCTTTTGTCTACAAAGCCCGAATGTTTGGGGAGGGGGGAGATTATGGGAATTAAGGTGGTGATCTTGAAAGGCTAAGTTTGGTTGATGATGAAGGAAGTTTTTTTCTCATGCCACAGGAAGTTTTTTCTCATGTCAGTGTTGTGTACAAGAGTGAGGTTATTGTTATTGGAGGCGAGAGTGGTCTTTTTGCAAGCCGATATATTTAACTTTACCCTCATGTTCCAGAAAATTTATTAATAAAGTTTCCTACAGTACAGTATGTTAGGAATAATATCCTGGTGAATTTGCATCATGACCAAGGCAAGTCATTTAATTTAATTAGTCTTCAACCATAGTGCTTCTTCGCTTATACTGTATAAAAAGTGATCTACTGTATAGACCTTTCACACTTGCACTGTAAACATTTAAACTATCAAGGTCAAATTTATAGGTCATTGGTACCTGTCAATGCTTAGGAAACAGAGCTATACAGCCAATTGCCAGTTGCATTAGATCTAAAAATATAACCAAAGATTATATTATTATTATCTTTATAAAGTACATTTGTAGAGCTATTATCAGTCAATCAATACTCTATAAAGCATGTACACAATAAATATTTTTTATCCAACATGATCAAATATTTGAGATCAAGTTTCTGCCACTTGAGGTGTTTTAATTTTATACATACACATATATAAAATGAATATGTATGCAGTATATGAAACTTTGGACCTATAACCTCGCACAATTATGCAAATCGTACGTTCAATTCAACGATTTATTGTTCAAAATTCAAACCACTTTACCTTATTGCCATACACCTCTTAGTAATCTCTTGAAAATATATTAGACGACGAGAAATCAACACATCATAGTTTCGGTCAAGACAATTTTCTTGCATCCATCGAATTTATCAGCTTGAAATATTCTCCACAGAACACCAGAGAGCATCCCTTATCGTAACAAATAACGATATAACCCTTTCGAAATCTTTATTTCGAAAATAGTTCAACAAATATACTAAGATTAAGCGAAATAATTCGCTTGTAAAATTGTACAGAGCTGCAACAGAGCTACCAAGTGCACAATGCTTCCAAATTGAAGATTAGAAGGCCAATCAGAGGAGATGTTCTTTAACTCTTTTGCGCAAATTGTCCAATCAGAAGCTGCTATCTATTTGCAAGATTAGTCAAAATAGTCAAAATTGCGCAATCGTTAGTCAAAATAGGTCTGACCAATCAACATGCCTGTAATGTGTAATCTGAGCAAATTTGACCAATCAAATCACATGAACTAAAATGCAGAATAGTCAATTTTCATTTCAATACCGCTTATTTGACTTATCGTTTGACTAATCAATCGCTGGCTCAATGTGCAAAAACTGATCGAAGTTTATATGCTGGAGTGTGATGTAGTTTTGATTGCATGATCAGAAATGAACAGAAGCGTTTGCGCTGGGAAAAAAATTCAAAAACCTTAGTCCAAATTTTTTTATATGCCTTTTTTTTACGTTAGTCGCGTGACTAATCTGACTACCCCTAGATCCGCCCCTGGTTGATTGGTCAAATTTGTAACAAAACCGAAATTTTCAAAATGGCGGCTAGCCGTTTTGTTGAAGTTACTGATAAAGAAATAAGCGAAATTAAAATAAATTCAGTCCCAAAAAACTTGTGTAAAAATACTAAAACAATTATTCGCCTCGGGCTCGGTGATTATTGGGGAATATTCACCTCGACTTCGTCTCGGCGAATATTCCCCGATAATCACCTCGCCTTCGGCGAATAATTGTTAAATGTTTACAAGCTGTGATTTGTCGGCCGGATTTCACGTTTACAGGAATTTACTTTCTGGAAAAATGTATTAAAATATTCAAGGAAATAGGTATATAAATTTGACTCTTCTGCAGTGCGGTATTAAAGTATATTTAATCGTACACATAAACAAATTTATATAGCCATATAGGGCATAGGTTTATATAAGCTCGCAGATATTGAAGGCAGCTGTTGAACTGAGCAACCACGAAATAATACTATTAAAAAAACAAAGCATAAAGAAATCAATTCCATGGTTCCATTCGAATATAACTATCACGGTTAGAATGTTAGAATGTGGATTACAAACTGGGATTAACTTCCTCGCCAAATATGAACACCTGCGACTATTTTTAATACTACAGCGGCAGTTTGATGAAATGCTGGAATACTTCATGTAAATGACTTCTTGAAATGCTAGAGAGTGTTATTTTTGAACTACGCACATTTTCGGTTTCTTCGGTCCGTACTATATAATGTTTTATGTATTTATTCCTTTCGCTATCTGAATCGTTACAGCTTTTTAATCCTGTCTCTGGCTAATGTCTTTTGTCCTTGCCCTATCTCAAACCACACCCTTTACTTATATATTAACTAATTAACTAATTGTATTAATATCAACACTACACTACATGTACAATTGAAATTGTACAGATCGAAGAAACAGAAAATGTGCGTGGTTCAAAAATAACACTCTCTGCCACGCAAAACGTCAAATCTTCTCTAAAAAGCCCACCCACCCAGTCGGATCAATTCACGTAGTTCTTTCATTTAGCGGACGTTCAATCAATTAAATAATTGTATCTCTATACTAGCCTTTAGTCCACTATTTAGACTTGATTTTCGTCTTCTAATATGTATCGCTTCTTTGTGTAGTAATAAATCCCAGTTTCTGGAAGAATCGATGACCTTAATGAGTAATTCTTGAGAGTACAAATTCTGTCATTTGTGTGTTTGATTGTCATGTCAAGAATGTTCTGTCGTAGTAGCAGTCTAAGTGTTTGTACACAGCGCTTTCCTTGTCTTTGTATCATTGTATCATTGTATGCATGTTCATTCACCCGTTCCAGAAGCGTTCGATCAGTCTTGCCTATGTAGCTGTTGTTACACTTAGGACATGTAAATTCATATACAACGTTAGACTTGTTTTGTTTGGGTACTTTGTCTTTCGCGTTCGTGAACAAGTTTTGTTTGTAATATAACGCTTGTAATATAACGACATCTCTTGCAAAACACTGCTGAAGATGAATCAGATTTGATTCGAAATATATACAGTTTTTGTTTAATGCTTGTGATGTTACTCTGAGTGTATATCCACACCGGGCAAGCTTGAAAAATATGCCTGACCGCGGTGGGAATCGAACCTACGACCTTTGGAATACTAGCCCAATGCTCTGCCAACTGAGCTACGCGGTCTGGTCGGTTCGAGTATGTGATATTTCGGAACAGAATCTAGTTCCTTCGATATCAGTGTAATCTAATAATCATGATCTTTTCTGTGTTGGTGTAATGTTGCTCGGTCTGAGCTCGGCAGCACCCTATTCTTGACGTTACATGACGTTCTTGCTTTTTTGTGTCCAATCTCCGGCCGAGTTATGTATTGTTGACATCTTAAACTGCTGTCAGTGTAGCCTGTGTTCTACTGGAACACGAGGATGGCTAAATGGCGTGGGTGGGTGGGTCGTGCGTCGTGGGTCGTGCGTCGTGGGTCGTGCGTCGTGGGTCGTGGGTCGTGCGTCGTGGGTCGTGCGTCGTGGGTACGGTGTTGAGCGTCGTATAAACAATGGAAATATTTTTTAAGACAGATAGACGGCAGACGGACGGACGGATGGATGAGAGGGTAAAAAACGGGCGGACAGGAGGGTAAAATGCGGACGGATGAGAGGGTAAAATGCGGACGGATGAGAGGGTAAAATGCGAACGGACGGTGAGAGGGTAAAATGCGGATATGAAGGAATATAGAGTGGTATTTGTATTTTTCATGCAGAATTAAAATGCCAACCTTTGCAACTTTCATGCTTATTTTTCTTTGTTATCTGCATGGGTATGTAGTAATTTAATTTTATGCCACTATAATGTGCTGTTTTTCAAGGGCTTTTTAATGCAGTTATCATCCTAAAAGTAACGTTAATTCCCGTTGAGATATGACAATTTCAGTACGGCCTACTTTTACACAAACGCGAATTACAATGGCAACATTCATGCTTAATTTTCTCGGTTATCTGTGCATGTAGTAATCAAATTTTATGCTACTATAATGTGCTGTTTTTCTAGGGCTTTTCAATGCAGTTATCGGTTTAAATATACCTAAAATGCCCGTTGAGATATGACAATTTCAGTACGGCCTACTTTTACGCAAACGCGACTGCATGCAATTGCCACTTTCATGATTTCCTCTGGTAAGACTGTTATCCAGTCGTGTTGTAATCTAATTTTATGCCATGAGTGTAATGTGCTATTTTTGAAGCAAGGCATTTTTTAATACTGTGGACTGGTGAAAAAAATGGCAATGGCTATTGCCCCAAAGCCAGGTCCCTAGGACTTGTATGAGTAAATGAGTTTAACATTGAAAAAAAGTTTAATAAACTAAATTTGTTGGTGCAGCATACTAGTAACTGAACTTATGTTGTGTTTGAACTGAACTTATGTTGTGTTTGAATGTTTAGCATGCAATTTATTACAAATTTCACCTGATTAAAACTTTTTTTAAAAATGTGTCCTTAGAATGCACGAAATGCTATTTCAGAGATCCAAATTTTAAAACCATCACTAGCTAACTCGAGCCTACGGTACTCGGCTCACACCTTCGGCGATCGTATACTATCCTGCATGGGGGAGGACAAGGAGAGAATGGGCCCTTTAGCAATTTTGCCCCACCCTGACTGAAGAATCCTTAAACTGAAATGTACTGTTTTGAAGGACTTTTCAATGCAGTTATCCGTTTAAATACTTAAAATTTTGACGAGCTAGCATACCGCCCAGATAACAGACAAAAGTAAGCATGAAAGTTGCAATTGGAATTCACGTTTGCGTAAGGGGCCGATTACATGGAGCATTTTCAACCCCGGGGTTGAACTCAGCCCTGTTTACTGGGTTGAAATTTCAGCCCTGTTTGTAATACAAAACTCAATCAAAATCAAACGCGCGATTACATGACAAAATTTTCAACTCAGGGCTGAGTTCATCCCGGGGTTGAAATTTTAACCCTGCTTCAGCTAGCAGGGTTGAAATTTCAACCCCGGGGTTGAACTCAGCCCTGGGTTGAAATTATCATGAGTTATTCGAGCATACGTGGTAGAGATTATTTATTACAAGAAAACAAAATAAAGGCCTTTTTACTTCCGGGAATCGATGCCGAGAACGTATAGTATAGCGTTTCAACCCCGGGGTTGAAATCGTCCATGTAATCGCAAAAGATTTCAACCCGGTTAACAGGGCAGAGTTCAACCCCGGGGTTGAAAGTTCTCCATGTAATCGGCCCCTAAAGTAGGCCGTAACGGTTTTCAAAAAAATGGAGTGACACAGTTTTCAAAAAAATGGGAAATTCACCATTTAGATCGGTATTTTAATAAATTGTCAAAACAATTGAGTGTACTAAAAGAAATCATTTTATGAAATAAAAATTGGGGGTAGGCTGTTGCGGTATTTGAAAAACAAAACGAAAACCGATACCGGAAAAAAAATACCGATAATACCGATATTTTTTCGCGATTGTATTTTGCTTAATTTTATGCAAAATTTGCTTAATTTTATGCAAAATTTTCTGTTTTCAAATGCTGCCAAACAGCCACGATATAACAGCTTTGACTCATTGGGTGCGTGATATTTTCAATAAAGTGTGAGGCCAGTGATCAGTAGTAGCCTGTGATGTGTCCGCTTTACGAATTGAAAATGCATATTACCTAATATTAGCATTGATTACCGCATCGGATGAAACATGTGTGATATTTTTGTCCGAGAAATTGTTTCAAAACATTTTATTCAACTGCGAGTTCGAAACAAAGATCGTCATATATCAGCAGAAAACTAACAATGTCCAATGAGGTTAGTTCTTGTTTTTCTAAAACATTTGTAATCCACCGTTGTTTACGTTCTAAAAGTTCACGAGCGAAATGACATATTACCTATAACTAAGCGAAATAACATATTACCGTACCTTGCAACGTACGCCAACGTAACGTATAAACAAACACGTTTTAGATCGCGTTCTAACCTTAATTGACGGATTTTCCCGCGGAGTTAACACATTGATCGTCTTTGTCCTTCTGAGTAACTTCAATCAGCGCTTGAAATTTGAAAAAGCTTGATATGGCGTTTATATATACAAACGTAAACGTGATATCGATAATACCGAAAAATATCGATATTCCGATATATTGAAAATTCCAATATCGAGTAATCGGTATTTTGATAAAAAAAGATAATTATCGGTTTATCGATATACCGCAACAGCCTAAATTTGGAGGTCACCGATGTCTTTTACAAGTTAAATTACTGTAATTAAATTCAACCACCCACAAGTTCACCCAGCATTTTTGCCAATGTGGTCATAGTTAATAGAGATGTGGCATATAGCTAAAAAGATTGGTGCAAAATTTTGGCAGTTCATGGTATAGTTCGGTTTTAAATTTTTTTTGCGATTTACTAACGCACGACCCACGACGCACGACCCACGACGCACGACCCACGACGCACGACCCACGACGCACGACCCACGACCCACCCACGCCAAATAGACAATCTCTACGTTTCCTTAGATAATATTTTATCTGATTATAATACAGTCACTTGTGGTATTCCTCAGGGGTCAGTTCTCGGTCCTCTTTTATTTCTGATATATATAAATGATTTCAATAGGTGCTCGGAAGCCTTAGATTTCCATCTTTTCGGAGATAATTCTAACTTATTTTACAAACATAAGAATCTTATAGAGCTTCAAACAAATCTAAACAGGGAATTACATAATATTCATGTTTGGTTGTGTGCTGATAAGCTGTCTCTAAATGTTGATAAATCAAATTTTGTGATATTTCATTCTCCTCAAAAGAAAATAAATAATGATATAAAACTATAAATATATAAACATTAATGGTAAAGAATTAAAAAGACATTTTTGTATTAAATATCTTGGTGTCCTTATTGATTCGCATTTAAATTGGAAAAACCAGGTTGATTATATTGTAAAATAGATTAAACGAACTATAGGGATTATCTCTAAACTTCGATATTATGTCAATAAAAGTATTCTTCTCAATATATCTATGATGCATTAGTACATCCCTTTCTAATTTATGGTATACTTGCTTGGGGTAATACTTATCCAACTACGCTTAAGCCACTGCAAATATTGCAAAAAAGGCAACACGTTTAATGACCTTCTCTAAATATGATGCACACTCAAGCCCCCTGTTTAAAGACCTTAAAATAATAAAGTTTCTTGACCTTGTTAATTTACATATTACAATTTTCATGCATAAATTTCATCATAATAATTTGCCAACTACATTTAATAATCTCTTTACTCCTGTCAACCAGACACATAATTACAATACTAGACTTGCATACAAATCGTCCTACTCTATTCCCAAAACAAGGACAAATTATGGAATTTTCAATCTAAGATATCAAGGAGCTAAAGTATGGAACTCTCTTGATGAATAAAAAAAAGCTCTATCTCTTTCATCGTTAAAAATAATTTAAAATCTAATTTTATCAATGGTTATTGATAAATTATGGCTAATTTGGTTAATTTTCGTAGATTGTTGATTTTCTATGTAATAATGAATAACAAAATCTCCTAAATGATGTGCAGCGGTTGTTTTCTTGTCGGTGTGCTTTCTTTCTCCGTGTTTCGACCAAGTGTGTTTATACCCATCAAACAAATTTATCATCAAAAAAAATTATTGTGAATTTTTCACTATAGTGATCTGGCTGCCCGATACCTAGCCCTTTACGGTTATTACGGGTAGCCAGTACCTATATTGATATATTATACTAAGTGAATTGTAATAATGTAATAGTTTTTTTTTCTTCTTTGGAGTACAAATAAATTGTTGTTGTCTCTGGTAATTTTAGACCGAATGTAGTAATTTATGAAACCGGATGTGGTAATTTTCCCTGAAAAAACCTGGTCACACTGCCTCAGAGTGACAAAACGTAACAAAGCAACGGTTTTACTAACACTAACCCTACTCCGAACACCAATTATAACCATAACCCTAACCTAACTCCACTCCAAATTTGATTCTAAACCAATCTTAAAGAAAAAAGTTTTGGCGAAATGTCATTCTGAGGTCAGCAAAATAGTATTTGCCGACTAATTGACGGCTGTGAACTAACTGTTGCTGTTCCTTGCACGATTATGTGCGTGAGTAGCCTGCGTAGCAGGCGTTTCTACTGCGAGCGTCCGGCTGGGAGACAAAGGGTGTGACCCTTGACAACGGGCGACCCTGTTGAAGCAAAAGAAACCCGGGCAACTATGCTATTAGTTTAGTATAGCATGGTAGCCTTGGTTTTCATTGTTCAAAGAGGGAATGTAAATCCCGTATTACCCTCATTACCCTGATTACCCATGCATACGCTTTTGTATGCATGGGTAATAAGGGAAATTTTATTTGAAAACAAAAGATTTCTTTGTCTTCTAATTTTCCCTAGCCTCCTCCACAGACCTCTCTATGGGTTTTAGTCTGCGAATGGGTTTTGAAAAAAAAATTCTGGTTTTCCCCTGCATGCTTGATGAGGGAAATTTAGAAGACAAAATCGTACCTCATTGGAGAGCTGTACCTCATCGAAAATCATCGGCACAACTATGGACATTGTCTGACAACACCGTCCCATACACATACTAGCAATTACCTATCACTTTGCCAGTTTTTATTTCGCAATCTTGAACATTTCAATTGAGGGAGAAAATTCCGTTCATGCGCATGCATAAAAAGAATGAACACGGAGATGTGTTTCTGCGCGTGCGTATATATGAAAAGTGTTCATCCCTGCTACATTATTGATTTATTGTATTATTATCATAGAATGGATTCACCCAAATTTCATCGCACAGGAATTGCTGAGCAAAATCAGATTACGAAGAACAAGATTTTGTCTAAACTATAGTCCATGAAAATATGGCCTGGAATCTCGGCTAAAGTTTTAATTAAACTACGTTGACATTGTACGGGATAGCTTTCCTTAGCGACGTGAAAAACCACCTATCCGTACATTTTAGGAACCCTATTTTCAAAGGAATTATTGCAATGGAGAGATGTTGTTTCGCTCAGCTTCTAAAAGTTGTACATTCCGTATCGGATAGTGCTTTTTTGCGCAGCTATGGAAAACTATCCGACATAGCGTGAACGTAGACTTAAATTTGTTCCATCCTTTTTGTTTATTTCTGTGTAAATTGGTGCACGGTGAAACCATTGAATTTTTGGCAAAATGAATCAATATTCCAACGGCACACTCAAACGTACGTACCGTGCAAATATTAACAAGCAAAAGTTCAAAAGATTTGTTCATCATATAGCTCAACATAAAATCCTAGTTCATTATAGACGCTTTGAAGTTTACAGCAGACCATATCTTGATTAACTATGCAGTAATAAGACATTAAACTTCAGTTTCCTCCTGGTCTGCGCACACATTTTGTGTTACTTCATTTAAATGAGCATATAAATGATCATCAGTTGGGTCCCCAGGCCTATTGAGATCTGTATACGGCGACTGTTCATCGTCTTCTTGTTCATGAATGACGACATCGTCATAAATATCTTGTGAATTACCTCTATCATTTGTCTTCTCTTCCGTACTTGATGCTTTGCGTCGATAGTTTTGACAGATAAAATATAATGCGATAAAAACAACCAATATGACCACCACTACTATGACTCCAACAAGATATTTTTTAGAATTGTCGTCCGTGTCTGAAACGTCACCTGGAACTTGGTCTGAAATTTGAAATGATTATCAATAAAATTACTTCAAAGATCGGCAAATTTTGTGTTTTGGCATCCAATTGCATGGCATCAAAAAATGCCGTCTCCGATCGCATTTAAATCGCAATGTTCACAGAACTTTATTTTTACTGATGTTTAATTTAAAATTATGTATGAAAAAAGATATCAGTTTCAAAGCCAAAATATATTTTGTCGAATGCGATATCCTAAAACAGTTCGAATAAATGAAACTTTGAATCTGCTGTTCGAAATAAATGCAACATCCAACTAATCTTAATACCACACAAGAAAGCGAAAACATGCGTGTATGTCTGATATTAAATTAAGTTTGGTAAACAATGTTAATGTAAATTCATACTCCAATCTGCTTTTTTCTTCTGAATTTCTTGATTTTATCATGACTGACTAAACTTAGTTATCTAACACAATGATCCCTCGATGAGCTTCAGCTCTTGGAGAAAAAGATCCAAATACGTTCAATAAATATAAAAATGATCAATATCAAATTAAAATTACATGGAAGAAGTAAACCTGTACCTTCACTCGTTTTTGAAGGAGGACTCCAGTCGGTGGAATAATAATCACCCTACAGTAAAGAAGACAATAATTTATTAATTTATTGATCTGTTAAGCCAGCTACACATTGATGTCATAACGTATTGAGCGACATATGTGGCAATACTTTTTGCTCGTTTTGTTTTTCTTTCTTAACCCTTGTTTACATTTGCGATTTTTGTTGCGATTTTCTTCGTTTGATGAATGTGAACGAATGGATGAGTTTATGAATATTCAGATACTCAGAACATTCTCAACTCACCTGCCCGTTCATATCAATCGGAAGAAAAATACATTTGAAATCGCTGCAAAAATTGTAAGTGTAAACTCAAATTTGTCCCATTGGGAAGCTACAATTTGCCCTTTCGTTTGCCTGAACCTAATAATGCCCTGCATTCCATAGCTATATGGCGGCTATTGGCTCCACAATGCAGCCCGGTTTCGAAATTATCTCGATCTCTCGTGCATTCTACTGAAAGTTAATTTGTTGCGCCCATCCTAATACCATACCATTTCATTGATGATAATCCTTCGAAAAACACTATAACTAGTGCTAGGTTCCAACGGACCATTAAAATAATCACTTGCAGTTGACCTCCGTTTTTGTGAAGTTGGATCATCGGTATTTCTGCCATCACCAAGTATAAAACTGTCTCCATCAACACCGCTGGATGTAACTACTGCAGCAATATAAGGTTTCGGATTGCTCAAGTTTCCTGCCTGAGCATACGTCACCAACTCATTGTTCTCGTAATTGTCAGATGATGCAGGCCCTTTGCCGTCTTTTAATTTCAAAGCCACCACGTAGAAATATCTATAAATAAAATTTGCCTTCTTCATATAAACCAGATGATACATAATATAATAATTATGAACTATATTCATCTGCATGAAAAAGTCAAACATACTTACACAAACGTTTTTGATGGAATTTTCAATGAAAATGTAAGTGTTCTTGATGTTTTAGCTGTGGCCTTCTCAGCCGGTCCTGCACGGAAAAGTAAACTGTTATCGTGTCAAAACGTAAAATATAGATCTTTATTCAGATTCGGCAGTGATGTTGTCTATCTTATCTTTTTATATGCTAAATGAAAACAAAACCTTACCTAAACCACTTGAAATGGCTGAGCCAAATGGCAAATATAAAATTCTGAACAGACTTTCTCTTAGCACCACAAACCGGAAAATAGTGACATTTACACTGCATACGACCCAGGTGTTGTACTTACCATTCGTAAAAAATCCTTCACATTCACTGTAGTTTCCATGACCAGCTTTAGTACTTGCCAGAATACGAACATAATATTTTGTTGATGAATTTAAATTTCCGATGAGCCACGTTCTTTCACTTGTAGTGAATGTCTGAAAGCAAGCATCATTTTCTAAATGTGAAACACACGCTGTATAACTGATAATGACGCCATTTTGTTTAGTCTTTTCAGGAAGGTCCCAAGTGGGAGACAACGACGATGCACTTCTTGATGTGGTTCTGATGTTTAATGGAGGACCGCTTGGAGCTACAGTGTACAAATAAACAGATTTTTTATTGAAATTTTATGTACTAATTGAAGTAGACATTTTGTTGCATGAGTGTTAAAAGAACCACATTTTGGCTCGCAGTAAAAAACACATCTTCTAACAGCTCACCTTCTTCAGATGTTAAGAACGAAGTATTACTCTCTCCACCAAATAGATAATAATCATTTCCAGCAGCTACAGTTATTTCATATGTAGTATAAGGAGTGAGATTATTTATTTCATATTTATTCACTTTTCCTATGGTAATGTTCAGGATTAGAGAGTTTTCTTTCTTTAGTTTAATACGAAAGCGTGAAACACCAGTTAACCCACGATCTTCAAGATGTAGCCAAGATACTTCAGCACTTCTAGACGTGATCTTAGTGACGGTGAGGTTCGTTGGTTTGTCTGGTAAGAAAGCCATAAGAAAACAATAACATAAAAAATATGTTTAAAATAAACTGTGTAATAAATATTCGTACAAATACAGAAGATAAGAGGCGAATACTGATGTACGAAAAATAATATCATGACGAACTACAGTATAGTGCGCTCCACTGCCAGCGAAAGTAAAAAATCTAATTAATATACATTTTAAATCAATAGACCTTTCCGGTCCTTTTGAGTGAAATTTTGCTCTCTATACAAGTCTGGACAAAAATGTCATCACAGCTTGAAAGAGCATCACAAAATTAGTAATATAATATTCTAAAGTTTCGTTGCGAAATGTTGTAAAATGCAGATGATATAGCCTTGCAAAGTTTGCCGTTTTTCAGTCACTTGTATTACAAATGGGAAATTCATAATCAGTTTGATCATCTGATTATCAATTTCCCGTTTGTAATGCAAAATGACTGAAAAACGGCAAGATTCGCAAGGCTATGTTATCCGCATTTTACAACATTTCTCTACCAAACTTCGGAATATTACTAATTTTGTGGTGCTCTTTCAAGCTGTGATGAAATTTTTGTCCAGGCATATCTAGATCAAAATTTCACTCTTAAGGGGAAATGTCTATATGTATTCACCCAGTTATTTTCGGCTCGGAAAGCAAGACAATCTCTTACAAAATGTCTGATCCAATTTTCATCAAAATTAAGCCAACATTTTATTCGTTTGACCTCGGTCTACTGCCTGAACTAACGCCAATGGTTCCAGAAAAATGTCGTATTAAATCGTTTGATAGTTTTGGAGTTATCTAGCTGACAGATAGACGGACGTTAAAACAAACCCTGCAAAAGGAATGAAGTATGTGGGAGAGAGTTCATAAGATTACTTACTTCCATCTGTAAAAAATCCTTTACTTTCACTGTAGTTTCCATGACCTGCTGTAGTGCTCGCAAGAACATGAACATAATATTTTGTTAAAGGATTTAAATTAACAACGAGCCACTGTCTTTGACTTGCGACAAGTATGTGAATATGCTTAAAGCAACGATAATTTTTGAACAGTGAAACACACGCTCTATAACCGATAATGATGCCATTCCGTTTAGTCTCTTCAGGAGGATCCCAAGCGAAAAACAATGACGATGCACTTCTTGATGTGGTTCTGATGTTCAATGGAGGACCGCTCGGAGCTACAGTGTATAAATAAACAGATTTTTATTGAAATTTTATGTGCTAATTGAAGTAGACATTTTGTTGCACAAGTGTTAAAAAAAATATTTTGGCTTGCAGTAAAACACACATCTTTTAACAGCTCACCTTCTTCAGATGTGAAGAACGAAGTATTACTCTCTTCACCAAAACCATAATCATTTCCAGCAGCTACAGATATTTCATATGCAGTATACGGAGTGAGATTATTTATTTCATATCCATTCACTCTTCCTATGGTAATGTTCAGGATTAGAGAGTTTTCTTTCTTCAGTTTAATCCGAAAGCGTGAAACACCATTTATCCCATGATATTTAGGATCTTGCCAGGATATTTCAGCACTTCTAGACGTGATCTTAGCGACGGTGAAGTTTCTTGGTTTGTCTGGTTCCATAGCTATAACAAAAAGTATAAAACATAATTTTTAAATGTGTAATAAATTATTGTGAACATACCGACAAATTAAAAACAGCAGTAGCAGCGGAAAGGTTTTACCGGGGGGGGTAATTTTCAGTTAATTTGGAAAATTTGGGAAACCGTAGTTTTCAACCGGTACCAAGTGCAAATACGTGACATAAAAACATGATGGAACTGTCACGGCAGTAGCGTAGAAAGATAGTTATATTTAGGAAGGCTGAGAACTGGGGAGGTCCGGAAAAAATTGAAGCTCGGAAATGCCATTAGAAAAAGTTCAAGCTTTTTAACCAAGATATATACGACATATATCTATTTTTAGGACGGATTCAAGAGCGTCAATCTATCCCTAATAAATTCCATTAAAAAGATGTTTGTTAGTCTTGAAAATTGTTCCTGACTTGTACAATTCCTGATGTTTTTCGGAAGGCGATTGAAACATTTAGCACAAGCGTGTTGAAAAGTTCTTGTTATTAATAATACTGTTTTACTATGACTGGGTTTTTTGGAGTGGGCTCAACTTTTCATTCAAATTCAGTCAATTTCATCCAAATTCATTCAATTTTATCCAAATCCAAAACTTTGTTAAAAATAATTATGTTCGTTTACTGCACGTGCGCGTTACTGCCAACACTAGTTCCAAACTAAACGGGTATGACTAAAGGGAGAGTTACCAACCGGAGAGTTATGATTTCGGAGAGTTATGTTCGAACCACTCCCAAACCACGCACACTTTCCTCAATGACCACACCCAATTTCGTAACTGTCCCGACGTTTCCTTGAAGTAGCATGAGGGAGTTATGTTTGACGTAACTCTCTCTCGTTAACATTATGAAAATGTTAGAGAGTTTTCATTTTTTATAACTCTCCGCGTTCATGATTGTGGCAATGAAGAGAGTTATGTCAGTTTTTTGAGAAAACCTTTAAATAGTAAAGCTTGTTTCTTCAGATTTTCATCTTATATTTTGGGATTTCAGTTTACAGCGTGTCAATAGCGTGCGTCCAACAGGAAATCGTACAACTCGACTCGGTCAAAACAATGAGATGCTTGCCGCAGAAGGGTCAATTAATTACCCCCAGAAGCATGTTTTGACGTGCATTTGGCAGTAAATATGGTAAGCATAGTTGCAAGAAAATTGAAAAATTGCGAAAATTGAATCTTTCAGAAATTCAGGTTTTGCAAATATTTTCCCATATCAGCCAATATAGGGCATTACATTGGAAAGGTTTTCTGGTTCTATCTAATACGAGAGCTGTATCTGAATGTTGGGCTTTGTAGGTAATCCAAGTGAGCATGAATAATAATTTATTTACTCGTACTTGCTTCACTTGGTAAGTACTAAAGTACTACTAGTTTCTACTTGCATGGAATATTAAAGCTGAAACTTGAGAAAAAAGTAAATTCACAATAACTTACTAAAATGTGGAATTTTTTTACAAAAAACTGACATAACTCTCTTCATTGCCACAATCGTGAACGCAGTGAGTTATAAAAAATGATAACTCTCTAACATCTTCATAATGTTAACGAGAGAGAGTTACGTCAAACATAAATCTCTCATGTTAGTTCAAGGAAACATCGGGAGAGTTAAGAAATTGGGTGTGGTCGTTGGGAAAAGTGAGCGAGGTTTGAACGTAACTCTCCGAAATATAATAACTCGCCACTTCATAACTCTCCGTTTAGCCGTTCCCAAACTAAACTGTTTAAGCCTGGTTCACACTAGCAATTCTGTCGGCGATTTTTCTGCTTCAGCCAAATGTGATACACACACACATACACCAAATCCATAAATACACTCTTTCGATAATTACGTCACAACTACATTGTTTCAACTTAGATCCACCTTAAATGGAAAGGATTTCAAGTTTTTTTCCCCATGGGCTATGCACAGAGAAACAAAGCATCTTTCATGAAATCTGCTGTGTCGGTGTAATGTACTCAGGTGAATAAGATGTTTGTGTCATGTTACTCTGAGTGCATATCCACACCGGGCAGGCTTGAAAAATATCCCGCCGTGGCCAGGCATATTTTTCAAGCCTGCCCGGTGTGGATATGCACTCAGAGCAACATCACACAAACAAAGCATCTTTCTTCGACATATGCTTTATTTTGAACAATAAATGTGGAAATAAGCTTTAACACGAAAACGAGGCTCCGGGTCATAACCTGTTACTGGTTATTTCGCAATGTAAGGCTATAATAGATATTTTTATATGTGGGTAACATGGACAAGACAAGTTAGTGCTATATCGAAGTTGAACACTTTTAAACACTATGGAAACCCTTTCTTGGGCACAGCTCTTAAAAAATGCGATTGAAACAACAAGTTGTAACCATCAGTAGAACCATACTTATCAGGCCAACTATGTAACTACTGGGGCATTTACCCCAGTACGCCTTTGCTTGCCCTAGTAGTGAAGCAATATTTTCAGATGTGCTGGGCCCTTTTGTTATTAGTAAAAAGTCATTCTTGTTGAAAAAGCTGCGTCTTTCTCACATTCTCAACATTCCATCTTATAAAAGTCAGCACAGCATGGTCTTTATGTTCGCGTAACTGTGTGGAGAAAAGACCCTCATTGAAAATTGAAACTTAGCCCCAGTAGTTGTAATTTCTTTAAAAATGCCCTGATACTTATACCCATACATACCACAAATTTCGTTAAAAGGTTTCACAATGTCAACACATTGATATTCTAAGTAAAGATAGTTTGACAATCCAGGACATAAATCACCAGAGAGCAAATTGTCATCCACAGTTATATTACAGTCATGTAGACCATCACATTGTTTCTTAACAAGACATGTTACATCAACTTCACAACTATAATCATCACTTAAACCACATGTCTTGTTAGCAAGCAATCCATGGTAAGTTGCAAACTTGACCACCATGTATTGATCTTTAGAACAGCTGGCATTCTTCACTTTATCACCATGACATGTTAATGAACCTTTAATGAGAACAACAGACGATTCTATTTTAAAACTGTGCCAGGGTATAATATTTTCGACAAAAATTATTTTTATAATTATTTTTATTTTTATAATAATTTTTTTATTATTTTTTTATTTGACCAGAACTACGATAGGAATTAGGAGATATTTTGTTCACTGAATTGAATCAATTGGTGGTATTTTCATCTACATAACATTTACCAAACCGAAGATATGAAACCTGCAAAGTCATATATGACCAGTGATGTATGTTAAGATGAGGGTCTTAATGGGGGTCTTTGGGTGTCAGTTGTCAGCTAAAATTTAAGCCAGTTGTCAGTACGATATTTTGCAAGCTGTCAGTAGTCAGTTACTGCAAAATGCTGACTCATCATTTTCTCATCATTTCTCAGTTGTCAGTTAGGATATTTTGTCAGTTGTCAGTCAAAAATTCAGACAAATGTCAGTAGTCAGTTAACCCCATTCAGACCCTCTAAGATGGACTGTCGGGAAAGAGCAAAGCACAATGTCAATGACATAATTCGGCCTTAAGCTGTCAAGAAGTTATATGTTTTCACTTGGCGATTTATAAATGTTTGGGTGGAGAATTTGTGGAGCTCATGCCGTAGACCAAGGATATCATTTAAGTTGGCTCCATACACTTTTCATCATCGGGGGACTGGTACCTAATCTTGAGTTTTCACGCGAAAATATTACAAATATATGCAAAAATAAATACAACTTTTTCAGTCAAAAATCCGAACCACAAATCATGTTTATTTTGATGTTTTGAGTCTTTTTTATCTCATTTGTTCTCAAAGAACAAACGTCGTCCGGATTTAGCCCCTAAACATTGTATAACTAGTCTTTTTAGAAGACATTTTAAAGTAAAAAATGCAATATTTAACGTTCAAACTCTTGTGAAAACCGGCGATCGGCCCGACCAGCGAAACGTTTTTTACTCCAATATTTGGCATTTATAAGTTCATATCCAGAGTTTTTGTACTTGCAACTGGTAAATATATTCAAAGTGTTACTAACAGCAAAGGAATTAAGTGAAACAGCATCATGCGCCGGCTCAAACTGTTTTAAATTGTCGACACCAACATGAAAACACACAAGTTACGACTAAAAACGAATATAAAACTATGTACAGAAGCCAAAAAGTTCGTACATGCCACACATATCTTATACCAAACAACACAATCACCTCAGTTTCATGGCGGTATCCCGAGTTAGCATGCAAAACTAAATATATTTGCATTTCTAAGCAAGAAAACACAAAATATATTTGATATTTCAACGAGCTTAAAAACTTTTTTGTGCGTGTTTTTGTGGAGATGCGCCTGCGAAAACATGTACGCGCATGTCAATTCATTGATCTTGCAGAGCTCCAAAAACTTTCGGCCGATCGAGTGAGATACCACAATAAGACGGCGTAATTAAAAATTTTGCACGGTGACATGTGATGAAATTTTGCACAACGATAACTACTTTTAAAACAAATAGAATATCAAAATTTTAAAAATATCTGTACATTGGAAAACTTTAAATCCGAAATTTTTTTATTCTGGCTATTCTAATCTACAGAAATTTTATTTTCAAGGATAAGATTCCTTATTATAAGTGAAAGCTATACAGCAGTTAAAAATGGGGTGTCACCGGCAATATTCGGAATATAAAGAATAAAAACCTGGTTAAAATAGCAAGAAATACCATATTTGGCGAGGCTACTGTTACTATGGAAACAATTTTATGTTCAAGAATGTTGCAAATTTTTTCTACCAAATACTTAATTTACACTTGAGAATGCTTAAAATTAATAGATGAAGTGATAAAATTTATAAATTGAAATTTTTACGCAACAAGGTATTTATACTACGGAAGTGTATGGAGCCTCCCTAAATAAAAATATATCTCGTACATTCTTGCACAAATTTATAAACAGTAAGTAACAGTTTGTAACAAGCTCCTTGACAGTCAATGTATATCTAATATATAATCCTGACATGATTTCTATAGACGTTAATTACTACGCATTTCACTGATATGTGCATTCCGCATTTTTTTTTCGCTTCCAATTTTCCGAAGATAATATAAATCAATATAAATAGTCAATGTTTTGTCTTGAATGACAGAAGTATTGATGAAAACTTGAAAAGGCGCCAATTTTTGTAACCAGGCCTGTGTCGAACGTCGAACGCCGTTCCGAAGCGAGAAAAAAATGCGGAATGCACATATCAGTGAAATGCGTAGTAAGCGAATTTATATTGAAAAGCTTAATTCCAAGTTATAACCGCGGTTAACCGCTTAAATTTTATAGAGTTTATTGAAATTTTATGTACTAATGGAAGTAGACATTTTGCTGCATAAGTGTTAAAAGAACCACGTTTTGACATGCAGTTCAACACAAATCAAATAAAAAAAATAACTGATAAAAACAACTCTGTCCTGATGAACAACCTTCAAGTTCTGCACAACAAAGCCGCTAAAATCATTCTTGACGCTCATCCACTCTCGTCAGCCTCAGAATCCCTACGATCGTTAAATTGGCAGCCGTTAACAACACGTAGACACTTTCATCGTTGTCTAATCATGCACAAGGCTTTAAATAATGACGTCGATTTTAAATTTAATTTCAAGTTCTCCTTTGACATCCACAGCTACAACACTCGAAACAAACAGAACATACATTTGGAACGCGTGAAGAAGAACTGGGGGGAGCAGGCATTCAGCTACCATGCTGCCAACGACTGGAATAGTCTGCCTGTGGAACTCCAGAATATACGTCAAATTAAAACTTTTAAAACTAAACTAAAGAAACATTTAGCTATATATAGCCATAGGACACCCCACCGAACTGATAGGATGCGCAAGAACTTAACCTTTTTTTATATTAGTTAGATACAATTTAACCTTTCATATATTCACTTTTGATAGATATATATTTTTATTCTTTTATTTTTTTATTTATTTTTTTCTTATTATTTTTTTTTTATCAGGGCTCCACTGAAAATCACTTTCGTGAGTGGACCCCCTGACTAAATATTGTAATTGTTATTATTATTATTAAATCTTTTAACAGCTCACCTTCAAACGTTAAGAACGAAGTATTACTCTCTTCACCAAATTGATAATAATCATTTCCAGCAGCTACAAATATTTCATATGTAGTATACGGAGTGAGATTGTTTATTGCATATTCATTCACTCTTCCTTTGGTAATGTTCAGGATTAGTGAGTTTTCTTTCTTCAGTTTAATGCGAAAGCGCGAAAGACCATTTATCCCATGATCTTCAGGATCTTGCCAGGATATTGCAGCACTTCTAGACGTGATCTTAGTGACGGTGAGGTTTGTTGGTTTGTCTGGTAAGAAAGTCATAAGAAAAAGTAAAAAAATGTAATATTTTAAAAAAATGTGTAATAAATATTCGTACAAATACTGAAGATAAGATGTAGATACTTATGTACGAAAAATAATATCATGACGAACTACAGTAGAGTGCGCTCCATTGCCAGCGAAAGTAAAAATCTAATTAATATACATTTTACATAAATTACTTATTTATTCAGTTCTTTTCGACTCGAAAAGCAAGACAATCTCTTACAAAATGTCTGATTCAATTTTCATCAAAATTAAGCCAAAATTTTATCGATTTGAACTCGGTCTACTGCCCGAGCTAATGCCAATGGTTCCACAAAAATGTCGTATTAAACTGTTTGATAGTTTTTGAGTTATCCGGCTGACAGATAGACGGACGTTAAAACAAACCCTGCAAATGTAATGAAGTATGTGGGAGAGAGTTCATAAGATTACTTACTTCCACCTGTAAAAAATCCTTTACTTTTACTGTAGTTTCCCTGACCTGCTGTAGTACTCGCAAGAACATGAACATAATATTTTGTTAAAGGATTTAAATTAACAACGAGCCACGTTCTTTGACTTGCGACAAATATGTGAATATGCTTAAAGCAAGGATAATTTTTGAACAGTGAAACACACGCTCTATAACCGATAATGATGCCATTCCGTTTAGTCTCTTCAGGAGGATCCCAAGCGAAAGACAATGACGATGCACTTCTTGATGTGGTTCTGATGTTCAATGGAGGACCGCTCGGAGCTACAGCGTACAAATAAACAGATTTTTTATTGAAATTTTATGTACTAATTGAAGTACAAATTTTGTTGCATAAGTGTTCAAAAACATATTTTGGCTTGCACTAAAACACACATCTTTTAACATCTCACCTTCTTCAGATGTTAAGAACGAAGTGTTACCCTCTTCACCAAAACCATGATTATTTCCAGCAGCTATAAATATTTCATATGCAGTATACGGAGTGAGATTATTTATTTCATATTCATTCACTCTTCCTATGGTAATGTTCAGAATTAGAAAGTTTTCTTTCTTTAGTTTAATCCGAAAGCGTGAAAAACCATTTATCCCATGATTTTCAGGATCTCGCCAAGATATTTCAGCACTTCTAGATTTGATGTTAGTAGCGATGAGGTTTGTTGGTTTGCCTGGCACCACAGCTAGAAGAAAAAATAAGAAACATAATTTTTAAATGTGTAATAAATACGCCAATAAACATGATGGAACTGGCACAGCAGTAGCGTAGAAAGATAGTTATATTTAGGAAAGCTGAAACCTGTAGAGGTCCGGAAAAAATTGAAGCTGCCGAAAATGCCATTTGGACAACAAAAAATTCCGCAAAAATCGTTTCATGCAGTTTGTATGACTTGGTGAAGACAAGAAACTACAATCTAGTCTTCGACTACATAGTCGACTGCCTAGTGATAGCCAAAAGCTCAAGCTTTTTAAATTAACCAAGATATATACGACATATATGAATTCTTAGGACGGTTTCGCCCACTGTAAAAACCGTGACAGCATCCTCGTAATTAGAATAACAACACAATTTTAAATTCAAAGATATCATCAAGAATCAAGTTTTCCTTCGGGGCATACGAAGGTTTGAAAGACTTAAAATATAGTCTGAAAAAGATACACCCGAAATATATTGCACTGTTTGTCAATGAAGCGATTTGTTCTAAATGCGAACAATCCTGAACGATCGGCAGGTATTTTCCGCGAGTGCCAGGTAACGGGTAGCGGGTGACGGGTAGCGGGTGTCGAGTAGCGGGTGACGGGTAGCGCGTGCGTAGCCGGTGGCGGTGGTTCTCGTAATTCATATGTTGAAGTATAGAATAATTTACGCAATCTCGTTCCCAATGCTTTCGCATGAGGGCAAGGTGGAGAGACAAGAAAGACCTGGTCTGAGCCGGTCACGTGATATATTTGACAGCTAATGTCGTCAAGGAGTGGCGAGATATTCTTACATGGAAATTACATACATACATACACACATACATACATATACATACATACATACATACATACACACATACATACATACATACATACATACATACATACATACATACATACATACATACATACATACAAATATTTATTTAAGCACGCTGGCCTCAACAACTCGGACCTGATTTCCATGAGGGGCGTGATTTGGAGAGAATATACTGTACAGATAAACATTATGCACATCTCCCTATGGACGAGAATTTCTGAGGGGGGTTGAAAAAGTCATTATATATCTGAGGGGTTGTGTGCATCTGCATCCTTTGATCTTTGCGTTTTTTCTGAGGGGTAAGGCAAAAATTTCTTAATTTCTGGGTGTGTGTTTGTGTCGGCACTTTGATCTTTTTTTCTTAGGGGTTCAAATTTTATTGATCTCGTCCAGGGGGGGTATACATTAAATGGAAAGGCCCTTGCTTCGAACGATTGTTCAAATATGGCGAATAAAGTGACAAAAAGAAAATATTACACAACCTCGTTCCCAGGGCTTTTCCCTTTTTGTCATTGGGAAGGCGGGAAAAGGCCCTGGCACCGGCCGGTCACATGACTTTCAACACCCAGATATAGTGGGTGTAATAAATTATAATAATAATAAATTAGAAAATCCAAGATGGCCGCCAACCTAAGAGTGTCCACAACATTTAAGTGCTTAGAGCGGCTTAAAAATGCGTTTAGTCTTTGAAATTTTACCTTCTTTTTGCTACCAACGTACTCGAAATCAGATTCTTCAGCTTTTATTACATGGGAACTATGTAGTTGCTGTTCTTCCAACTGGGTTTGGCAAATAATGCCAAATATCGATCGTTCGCTAAACAAAATTAACAGCCAAAATATAATAGTATTACGACAGATGTTCTGCAGCTGGACAGGCTTGCCTAAGAGGACACGGAAAGTGTTTTGAACTGGGGATGTTAAACTTGGTTTTACCCTTCCAAAGACTCTGCTGTGCGACGATTGGAGAGAGTTTATGAGGAATATTTTATACAGTGATTCAAAGAAATGTTTTTGCATATACTGTATATGTTATTGATCTATTGTTGAATGTCACTTATATTATAAAGTGACATTCAACAATAGATCAATAACATATACAGTA